ATCCATAGCCTTGTCAAGAGGGAAATTCATATCGCCGGTAAGAACAAGTTCGTGGGTTCCCTAACAAAAAAATGCTATAGTTAACTATAGTTTATTATAGTTAACTATAGTTATAACTTTGACACTTTGAAAACTTTGATTTACTATAGTGATAACTTTGATACTTTGAAAAACTTTAACGAAAACTTTGACACTTTGAAAAACTTTGACAAAAACTTTGATACTTTGAAAAACTTTGACGAAAACTTTGACACTTTGAAAAACTTTGGCGAAAACTTTGACAGTTTGAAAAACTTAAATGGCGAAAACTTTGATACTTTGAAAAACTTTGGCGAAAACTTTGATACTTTGAAAAACTTTGGCGAAAACTTTGACACTTTGAAAAACTTTGGCGAAAACTTTGACACTTTGAAAAACTTTATCGAAAACTTTGACACTTTGAAAAATTTTATCGAAAACTTTGACACTTTGAAAAACTTTATCGAAAACTTTGACACTTTGAAAAACTTTATCGAAAACTTTGACACTTTGAAAAAATTTATCGAAAACTTTGACACTTTGAAACACTTTATCGAAAACTTGGATATTTTAACACTTGAAAATTTTTATCGAAATTTTTGAAACTATGAAAAAGTTTATCGAAAAATTTTACACTTGTAGAACTTTATCGAAAACTTTGACACTTTGAAAAACTTTATAAAAAAACTTTGATAATTTAAAAAAGTTTATTGAAAACTTGGATAATTTTAAATTTTGAAAAACTTTATCGAAAACTTAAACACTTTGAAAACTTTATTGAAAACTTTGAAACTATAAAAAAGTTTATCGAAAACTTTGACACTTTGAAAAACCTTATAGAAAGCTTGGATACTTTGAAAAAATTTATCGAAAACTTTTATACTTTAAAAAAAACTTATCGAAAACTTTGACACTTTGAAAAACTTTATCAAAAACTTTGAAAAACTTTATCGAAAACTTTGACAGTTTGAAAAACTTTGGCGAAAACTTTGACACTTTGAAAAACTTTGGCGAAAACTTTGACACTTTGAAAAACTTTAGCGAAAACTTTGATACTTTGAAAAACTTTGGCGAAAACTTTGAAACTTTGAAAAACTTTGGCGAAAACTTTGACACTTTGAAAAACTTTGGCGAAAACTTTGACACTTTGAAAAACTTTGGCGAAAACTTTGACACTTTGAAAAACTTTGGCGAAAACTTTGATACTTTGAAAAACTTTGGAGAAAACTTTGATACTTTGAAAAACTTTGGCGAAAACTTTGATACTTTGAAAAACTTTGGCGAAAACTTTGATACTTTGAAAAACTTTGACAAAAACTCTGACACTTTGATTTACTATAGTTAACTATAGTAAACTATAGTTAACTATAGTTAACTATAGTATTTTTTTGTTAGGGTTGATACATGTACAACATCACGACTCAAATATTGCGACCATGCGTCAAAGAATTCAAAGAGCTTTTTCGACGGTGGACGATAGACAATACATATACGAAAGTTCTGTGTAAATACCGTACATTCCTTGTGCTCAAAGCAATTGAATGAATCTAACTGTAATTGAGTAGTGCGAAGATTCATATTGTAAATGAGGACAACACCACCACGATTCTTTCTTGGGCCGTGAAGTATATCATAACCGGTTCTAGTCTATATCCCTAGATCAGTATGTACTTGGAAAGTTAACCTATCTTATTTATATAAACCCCAACATCCTTACTTATTATTAAGTGCTCGCTCAGCATTAAAAAAAATTAAATCACAACCTGACAAACATAACAAAAAAATGCAATAAATTTCTTTTTCATGTTGAAAACTGGTATATTACAATACGCATAAACATTCTTGTTAAAATCATAAGGATGATAAAGTATTTTAATGTTCTAAGTTTTTATAGTTACTACCTTAAGAAATTTCAAAACCATGATTTAATGTTGGTTAATTAATACCAGAGCTTAGAAAACAGATGAAAAAAAGGTTTTACATGAGCATTGTAATTCAGGTGTTATAAACTTTTTTTTCAATATCTGCTCTTGATGGACACTTTCACGAAGTTTTTGTTAGAAAAAGCGACCGTGAATCGATTCGGTAATTTCTCGACAACCTGTATAATTAAATCATCCTTTGTCTGGAATTCAACTGTTTGGCGCAATAATTTTTCGATGGATCCCTGAAAAAGGGTTAATTTTATTATCCCTTTTATCCATCAACTTCGAACAAGAATTGGATTTTAAGACTTTTATAGTTTCCATTTGATTCCTTTGCGCAAATGGGGCATTTTTCATCAATTATCATTTTTCTAATGCAGGCTTGCAAACATTAATTAGACATTTATCATGCCCCAGGCAACTAGTTGCGGGAGGTATAATGTTTTTGACCGGTCCGTCAGTCAGTCAGTCCTCTGTTTTTGTCAGCGCAACTCCTCATAAACCGCAGCACAGACTTTCGTCAAACTTTTCATGTATTTAGGACACAATTTGTAGATGTGCATATAACCAGGAAATTCACATTCCTTTATTTTTTCCGGGAATTTCCGAACTTTTTAACTTCGGCATTTGGCCATACCTTGAATATAGAGATGAACAGTTTGTCAGCGCAACTCCTCATAAACCATAAAACAATATTTTAGATCACTATCCAAATTTCATAAAGTAACTTTTATGAAATAAAATGAACATCTTACATTATGGACACTGCTAATAAAGAACTTAAAAAAAAAAAATGAATCGTTACAAATGGTGTCGTGGACATACAATTGAAATGAAAATCTTTTGGCAATGAGTTACTTCTAGGCCCACACTCGTTGAATTTCTGATGTCACGAGTTTAACTACCAATCAACGAGTGCATTCACCAAAGCCTTTGAGTTTGGTTTGTGATCAACAGAAACGCAACGGACACCTGAGAGTTCTAAACAACGCCCCTTGAGGTGACAAAAAAACTTCACCGGCTTATAACTGTGCACTTAAAGAAAAAGAATTGTGTCGTTACATCTATGCATTAGTGTATTAATCCACTCATTCAAAAATGTCTACTAAGGGGGAAATCAGACAACTTCCTGAACTTGACCATGCAGCACAGTTAAGGCAACATTTTCTATAAAAAGTCAACGAAAACGATACAATTAATATTTAACTATTTTATTTTTCAGCAAGACACTCTAGTTAAAAAAGCTTTATGTTATCTTGAAGAGTATGTCCTTCGCTAGTCAACTAGGAATTTTTGTGATCATGTGACCCTCTAAAGTCACATGGGCTCCGATTTTAGGTCAACAAATGAAATGTTAAATTTAACCAAAAAGTTCAAGGGCAAGGCAAACAAACAAATAACTGCACAGTGTTTTAAATTGTTCCTATCTATCTATACTTTCGCAAAAGTGATGCTCATTCAGTTGGTTTTCCGATACATTTGAGTTATTCAACTGAAACAGTCAGTAGTATATGAAAAACGGGGTATTTTCCTAATTTAATAACATCGGAAATTATAAATTACCTTAAGGATTACAAAGAAATAAGCATCACTTTTTGAAAAATATACAGTAAAATGAATAATTTAAAATAAAAACCTACTTATTAGATTGTCGCCTTGCCCTTGAACTTTTTGATTAAAAATTTACATCTTGGTACAGTCAGTCTAAATATAGTTTTCAAACGCATCGTTGACCCAGCATGGGAGATAACTCTTCCGTACTTGATAAAGTTTGTTTACCTCGTAGATTTTAAATAACCAGGTCCCAAGACCATAAACTGAGAATAGACTTAAGTCAAAATTTTGATTTTCAATATCTTTAGCTTTGTTTAATGCATTTGCTTAAAATTTTGCAATTTTATTTAACATTTGAATTTAAAATTATGATGAGAATTATCTTTTATTATCAAAATTATTTCAAAAGTTATATTGGTTTGAAATTTTGACTTAAGTCTGTTCTCAGTTTATGGTCTTGGGGCCAGGCCTATACTTGCATAATGCGTCGGGATCGTTTTACTTAATCGAACAGTATGCATAAAATAATGGATATTACTTTCTATTTTGTGACTTCGTTCTCTATACAATGTGTGAATTATATACGATATAAGACGTCTTTCAGACCTTCCGCATTTCCTCGAATCAGTGTAAACATACATGCATCTAAATGTAGGTGTAAAGTTTGCCGCAGTATGTAATCTAAAACGCCGATTGTTAATACAATTATAATAGTCAATTTGATAGCCTCCATCAATAATTAATTCGATAATCATACCCCTCTGTCACAAATGTACATACACTTGTGTACAAATATTTTTTTTTCGCATACAAGATTGTATCTTGGATTTCTTTAAAACCTTCAACTCCTATGGGATTTATGTCATACGTTTTAAGAACTAAGACTAAGTGGAAAACATACAAATTCCTGTATTTGTTAAAGGGACTACCATTTTATTCCAAAAGAGGGGGGGGGGTAGATCTGAAATGTTGAAATTAAATATGTCCCAAATAGGATTAAAAAAATTAATCTGCCCCATACCAGTGTTCCCCCTCCTATAATTTTGTTAAGCTTGTCAGACATTTTTCAGTAGGGAGGAAAATAAATAATCTGTCCTTCATCATATTGGAAGTAAATATTAGTAGACCTGTCCTTCATTGACATGAAAAGAAATAAAGAACATAATGACTTGGGAAAACTTGCCAACCCCCCAACCCCCACTTCCCTTTAGAATAAAATGGTGGTCCCCTTTCTTGTTTTGAATCAATTAAGGGGGGAGGGGGGCTTTAATCTCCTCTTTAGTTACTATTATTAAGAAAAACAAATTAACACAATGTACATGCTGGAAAAAAATCTTGATGGACATTGACAGTCTGGCACCACACAAATATATGCAAGTCAAGATTATCAAATCTTAATAGCCTTTTCAACACCTGTACAGTAAGTACATGAATATAAAAAAGTCAAATAATTTTTTATGAAGAAATTTTATTTCATAAACAGCTTTTCAAATTAAAATAGACTGTACAAGGAATACTGGGGGGGCTGCAATTTTTTTTTCCATCACTTTATGTTCTTGTGGATGAAATCAATTCTGAAAATACATGTATGAAAAAATCAGGATATTCATGTAGTAGCATACCATTACTAAGAGTAAATTGGTGATTAAAATTTAATTAAATTCAGATCAATGCATGGAAACATGCATTGGATGCATATATAATTAAATGTTTTCAATTCTACAGTTATTTATTGTTTACCTGGAATATTGCATGGTAATATGGTTTATAGCTAATATTGAGCATACCATTTTCCTTACATCATGGATTAACTTGCTGCCTGATCATGAATGATTCCATTGGTCTATTTCTTTAGGAATATATGCAACACATTATATATGCTATTGCTATGAGATTACTAAATAAAATACATTGTAAAGTAAAATCACTTTACATTTGACAAAACAATTCATGATATATTGTAAACTGTAGTAAATTAAAATTCATATAAAAGTTAAATGGAAACAAAGCTGTATTTATTTACAAAACTCTTCTGGGAAATTAAAACCTCTGACATTTACAAGAACAAATGATTAGAATATGAAAAACAAAACATTCTTCCATCTTTACCAAAAAGAACGAGATGTGTTTGTAAAACACTGATGCCCCCTTATGGCAACATAGCAAAGATTAAGCTTTTATTAAATCCAAATTTAATTAATTGGTACCAAAAGTAGGGTATTCTCACTGGAAAACAATAATGAAATTTGAAAGTAAGCTAATGTTAAAGGTTTTTAATAAGTACAAAAATCTCCGAGGTCAAGGTCAAAAGGTCAATGTAATTAGTATCAAATGAAAGGTCTTGCCACATAAAATACTTATGTATAGCATGAAAGCCCTAGCCCTAACCGTTCAGAAGTTATGGTTAACGGTTAATTTCTTAAAAAGTAGGTCAAACTCCAAGGTCAAGGTCAAAGCATCAAAGTTATTGTTATCAAATGAAAGGTCTTGTCATAAGGATCAAATATGTAAAGTATGAAAGGAACTAGCCCTAAGTCTTTAAAAATTATGGTCAAGTTTGCTTTTTTAAAGTAGGTCAATCTCAGAGGTCAAGGTCAAAGGGTCAAGGATCTTCATATCCAATGAAGGGTCTTTTCACAAGGAGAACATATATGAAATTTAAAAGCCCTATCTCTTACTGTTCAAAAGTTATGGCCAAGGTTAAAGTTTTTCACAAGTACGAAAATCTACAAGGTCAAGGACAAAGGGTCAAGGTTGTTGGTATCCAGTAAAAGGTCTTTTAACAAACATTACATATATGAAGTATAAAAGTCCTGGCGTCTACTGTTCAAAAGATATGGCCAAAGAAAATTAAAAAAAAAATTCTTTAAAAGTAGGTCAAACTCCAAGGTCAAGGTCAAAGGGTCAAAGTTATTGTTATCAAATGAAAAGTCTTGTCATAAGAATCAAATATGTAAAGTATGAAAGCACAAGCCCTAACTCTTTAAAGTTATGGTCAAGGTTTGCTTTTTTAAAGTAGGTCAAGCTTAAAAGTCAAGGTCAAAGGGTCAAGGATCTTCATATCCAATGAAGGGTCTTTTCACAAGGAGTACATATATGAAGTATGAAAGCTCTATCCCTTACTGTTCAAAAGTTATGGCTAAGGTTAAAGTTTTTTCACAAGTACGGAAATCTACAAGGTCAAGGTCAAAGGGTCAAGTTTGTTGGTATCCAGTGAAAGGTCTTTAAACAAACATTACATATGTGAAATATAATGTCCTGGTGTCTACTGTTCAAAAGATATGGCCAAAGTAAAATTTTAAAATTTTCATGTAAAAGTGGGTCAAACTCCAAGGTCAAGGTCAAAAGGTCAAATTTGGTGGTACCCAAAGAAAGGTCTTGTCACAAGGAATACACATATGAAATATGAAAGTCATAGCTCCACTAAATCAAAAGTTATGGGCAATGTTAAAGTTTTTGCGGACAAACGGACAAACAGAGAGGCAGACTGACACGACAAAAACTATATACCCCCGAAACTTCGTTTACGGGGGCATAATAAAAATAAATATAGGCCTAATCATGCACACAAGCATGGTTAAAAAAACGTGAAATGCTTATAAGTGTACATACCCTGTGGAGAAATGGATGCATTTTGTATTTATTTATACTTCAAGCCTGGATCCCTTGACTGCTTCAATAATAAAATAAATATGTCATATGATTTTATAAAATTATGTATAAATTACAGAAATTAATTGACTTAAAAATTGAAATCATACTAAAAATAAATACTAGTAAATATTTTATTCACCATTAATTTAGAAATTATAAAAATTTAAACACATAGATCTAAATTGGAGGTTCTTTGTTTTCATTATAATGATACAAATAATATTTGTTACATTTAGCATGTTTGTATGCCAAAAAGACAACAACATTACATGTTGAGTAAATCATTGTCAACACATTGACTGCAGCAATGAAATTTCAAATTTAATTTAGTTTAAGTTTCTATTACTAATTAACACCCTTATTACACATGTCGTCTCAAAGAAAATAAGCTAATCGACTCTATATTTAGTACAATTACATTTTTAAATTTTTAGTAAAACAGTGATCAACTTTATGTGGGCTGTTAGGAGGGGGGGGGGGGGCGACACACACTGCACTGCATTAGTTTTTCACTGACCGTGATAATACATCTAAATAATAACGTACACACTCGCGATTGTTTTTTCTTCGATGTTAACAGGTAAATAACTCTATTTCGATCTTACATCGGAACATCTTCTATTCATATTTATTGGAAAAAGAATTCATCCAAAGCCGAAGATTACACACACACAGACCCTGTACCAACTTTATGATGCCACATCTCACAGTTTTACAAACTTATTATAATGTATTTCTCGAAATTTAAAGATTGTGAGGTGCTCCCAGACCTGAAAGTTGCTGAAGAAAACTTTTCAAAAGGTAAATTAACTAATGATTGTGTAGTATATTGTACAACTTATAACAAGAGGCCCATGGGCCACATTGATCACTTGAAAAGCTTTGACCATTCTGTTCTCTACCAGATTCCCCCCTTGTTATACATAATGCATCCCCAGCCTACACTGATGATAACTTAGACATTTTGTAATATACACTACCCCATGATCCTTCCATGTGCACATAAGTTTCAGTTTTTCTGACCCAGTGGTTCTTGAGAAGAAGATTTTCAAAGATTTTTGCTATATACTCAGTATTTCTATGTTAAACTTTGATTCCCCATTGTGGCCCCGCCCTTCTCCTAGGGGTCATGATTTGGACAATTTAGAATCTACACTACCCTGGGATGCTGCCATATTTTTATTTTTATTTTTATTTGGTAATTAAATACACACTTACCTGGCATTTAGTCCATATATTTCAATTTAATATATTCGGTACCCATATACACACTTACCCACTTAGTCAACATCTACTACAGTGGAAACTGATATTTCCAGAAAAACTAAGGTTACATATAGGCACTACACTGAAATTATGATTTACTTGAATTCCGAGATTAAATAATACCCTGTTTCATGTAAGCGCTAAATAGAGAATTTAAATTTTTTCCGATAAAAAAATCTAATTTTTGGCTGTTTGATGGTGCAAATTTTGTGTAAAAATTAGAGGATGTCTCGGATTTAGTTCATCTTTTTTAATTATAAATGTGTATGTATATATTTAATTTTTTTTCTTAAATAATAGATGTTATGCATTTTCTTATTATCTGATTTGTCATGAATATGGTTGTCCACTTGACTTTTGATTGTATATTGTTTAACGTCACTCTTGAGAATTTTTCACTCATGTGGAGACATCATCGTATGCCGGTGAAGGGCTTCAAATTTAGACCTATACTCGGCACTCAGGGCCATTGAGCAGTGAAATGTCCAATAATGAAACAGATGTGTCAGAAATCTGTGGTATTTTTATCTCAAGCTAACGTCGTCGATATATCTAAATATCTAGTTGTAGGCCACAACGCTGCTACTACGATCTCTTAATCTAAATATCTATTTGTAGGCAACAACAAGTGTTTCTTCTTTTCAGGCGTAAGTTTTTTTTTACGATTTCTGCTTCATATGAATTTAAAAATAGTTCTTCAAATAACGGAGCGCAATTGATACCCATTGGAATTATTAAAAAAAAATTAATGCTTAGTTTATCGGTACTTGATTTCTTCGTAAGCATTGATACAATGCATGTTTCTACTTAAGCACAAGTTACAACATCTTACTTTCTTTTGGTAGCCTTTCATATTCCTTGTCAAATACATAAAATCTTTTTATATATATCTCAAATCTGTTAAAAACTATGGACATCTTCTATAAAGCTATATTTTCATGCAAGGATTTGCTTTGTTAGATTTACTGTATACAGGGAAATTTTCGCCCCCGTTTTATTTTCGCCCCTTTCGCCCTATGATCTTTTGGGCGAATTTAAAACGGGGCGAATTCAAAGAATACAGTATAAGTTCTTAAACAAAACTCTGATTGGGCGAATTTAAAACGGGGCTAAATTGTTTGCAATTGTGAAAGGGCGAAAATTAGACGGGGCGAAAATAACCCTGTATACAGTATATCTTTCACATTTGCACTCCCTGTTGGTCCAATCCCATCATCTATTTTATCTTCATACGTGTGTTGTCCTGTAACACTGTCAGTTGTTTCATTATTAAGTGATAAAACCTGTTAATCTGCACTATCTTTTAGAAAAACATTGTGCATTATGAGGGTACCTTCAGAAGGTTTATAATATTTTTATGTTCCCCAAACGGAGTTTGGGAACATATTGTTTTTACTCGGTTTCTTATTATTATTATTATTATTCTTTTTTTTCTTCTTTGTTCTCCGGTACTTTTTTTGTCCGCGAGTGTTCTCAGAAACTGTTCACCCAACTAAGTTAAAACCTTTTTAGGGTTAATAGGTGTCAAGTGTAGGTGTGCACAACGAAGGTCATTTTGCGCGCATACGCATGCACGTGCGTGCGCTTGAAATGAGTGAAATGACTGACATACTTATTATAGCCATAACTTTTACATTTTTTATTGAAATGCTTTGAAACTCATTCTATAAGGATATATTAATAGTCTAGATAATATGACATGGTCAAATTAGCACGAACTCACGTGCATGCACGTGCGCTTCCCTCTGATTGGCTGAAACAAAGATTTCAATATCTCTTTTGTTTTTTGACGAAATGCTTTGAAATTTTAAACATAGTCATGCATTAGGATATACCACAATATAATATATAGCAGGTATCATGAAAACACGCGCATGCACGTGCGCTGCAATCTGATTGGCTTAAACTTTAAATGGGTATAACTCCTTTGATTTTCAACCAAACAGGATGGGATTTAGAACATAGATAGACATAGTGGATTCCTACAAAAAGGTAAGGTCATCATGCACATGCATGCACGTGCATGCACATGAGATGGATAAAATCAAAAATACACTTGATGAAGCGTATTTTTTAATACTTTTGGATTACATGCTTTATTATTTTATTATATTAATGTATATAGATAGTGTAGACAAGAGAATATGATCATTACGCACATGCATTTACATGTGCACGCGTGCAAATGCTAAAATTTGAATATACTCGGTATACTTCAGGGAAACGTTGTTAAAGTGTAAAATGCATAGAGTTTGTCGTTTTTAATGAAGCTTAAAGGGAGTATGGCACCAAAAGGGCACCAAAAGGGAGTTGGGGAGCGTTTGGGGAACATCTGTAACGGTTCCCGTTACAATTAGCCCTAGTTTCAGTTGTGTTTCAACCTCTTGTGTACCATAAATATGTTTAACAATAAAACCATTCGGATCTTCAAATATAGAACTGTGATATTTCCAGATTTATTTTCATGGAACTGACATTCAACCCTGAAAAGGGTTAAAAAAAAAATACAAACATTTCAAGACTCGTAAACATATGACATATATCAGGGCCTGGTTGCTCAAGAGATGGTTAAATTTAACACAGTGGTTAAGAATAACTATGTGTTAAACCTTAATCATAAGATTAGCTAACACAGTGGTAAAATTCTACTGCTCAAAAACAATGTAACCTCTCTTCCTTTCCATGGCTGTCGTCGTCTTAATTTTTAGCTCTACTGGTCAGAGACCAGAAGAGCTTATGCGATAGTAAACTAATGCGTCCGTCGTCCGTCCGTCTGTCTGTCCGTCTGTCTGTAAACAATCTTTCAAAATGCTACTCCTCCTACAGTTTTGGTCTGATTTCTATATAACTTGGCACACAAGTAGACTACACTTAGATAAAAATTCTGTGTATCGGTTTTTGATTTTGATAAACAGTGTTGCCGTTGTTACTAAAAATAGAAATTTCTGTGAAATTCTTTCAAAATGCTACTCCTCCTACAATTGTAGTCTGATTTCAATCTAACTTGGCAAATAAGTAGACTACTCTAAGATACAATATTCTATGTATCGGTTTTTGATTTCAATGAACGGTGTTACCGTGGTTACGAAAAATAGAAATTTCTGTGAAATTCTTACAAATGCTACTTCTCCTTCAGTTTTGGTCTGATTTCTGTATAAATTGGCATACAAGTAGACTACTCTAAGATACATAATTCTATACATCGGTTTTTGATTTTGATGAACAGTGTTGCCATGGTAACTAAAAATAGAAATTTCTGTTAAAATTCTCAAAATGCTACTCCTCCTGCAGTTTAAGTCTGATTATAATATATTTTGGCATGCAAGTAGACTATTCTAAGAACATAAAGTGACTTAATTAATCAAGGATCATAATTCTTTTTATTGATGTGGTCAAGTTTCAATTCCAAACTGCTTAAAAATTTTTCCCTTCCATTGCTAGAAGAACAAACCAGTAGAGCTTCAGTCTCAACAGAGACTTCTGGTTCTTTATGGATTTAGATGTATAACAGGGCACTTCCTGTAAAAATGACGGCATTTACCAATTTCGTAACACTGCTTAAGACTTGAGAGTTACCGACCTTCGTAAACAAGCATGTTTTTTGTCAACACAGTTTGATAGACGCTGGCATTTTACATGTCATTCATTTGTACCATAGATAATAAATTTTGTCACATTTTTTCCACAACTACCCACCACAGATGCTTGAAATTTTAGCACAATATGTTAAGGCATG